TGCACGGTTCGATCACCTGGTCCCATATGGATGTTCATTCGGGTTTGGTTTACCTGCTCAAACGTGCGCAGATCACGAGACACTCGGAGCTACACCCGACAAACCCACCTCTGTCTTGTGCCCCCACACCTCCGACGGCCTTGCCCAGGAGTGAGCAGAACAGGAAGTGCTTCACCCTGGAGTGAACAGCAGCCCCAACCCCACAGTCGCAAGCCAACCCCGCACCCCGCAGCCCCTTAGCCCTTTCTCCTTCCGGGTGGGCACAGCTCACAGCTCGGGCAGAGCGCTTACACCGACCGTGCGCTGCGCGTCCCCACCTTCTGCGGCCCGCAAAAGCAAAGTCGGGCCGTCCTTCATATGGGGTTTCTGGCAATACTTAGCGGTTCCTGGGTAGCTATAAGTAGGGTTATAAGTACCCCACATAGATAGGGTTAAAAGTTCAGTTTCCATACTGACAACCCTACTTGCAACTACCCACGAACCTCCAAGTATAAGGGGGGGGGGGGTACCCTTTTGGGGGGCCCTGTAATAAGGGTTCTGAGATTTCTAGACAGGGATCCTATTTTGAGAAATGCCCAAATCCTTGGCATACTGGAAGATGCAGTGGAACTTGTAGAGTTTACTTGGACACAGAGTTGGCCCTGATTCCCTTCGTTGGGGTTTAACTTCCCTTGCATACCCCTTTATACACCAAAAGCTTTAGCGTTTTGGGTTTAAAGGGGCACGTTCGTCATTCCTAGCTTACTCTTGGTTTCCCTGAACCCTAAACCCTTCTCATTCCTTGCTGAGAGACCATGCAGCTACCCTAAGAGTCTAGACAAGCCTAAACCCTAAACCCTAAACCCTAAAGCCATTGGACAGCCGAGTGGCGACGCGGCGGTGAGGGCTTTGCCCTCAGCAGCTTCCAGGCATCCTTTCCATCTGCGGTTTCGGCTGTTGCCAGGCAGCCACAGGGGTTTTTGGGTTTAGGGTTTAGGGTTTGGCAGCACCCACGGGAGTCCGGATGCAAAAAGGGTTTAGGGTTTAGGATTGAGGGTTTAGGGTTTAGGGTTGAACCCTAACCCTAAAGCAGAAACCCTTTGGCGAGCAGAGGATAGAACTGCTATACACTTGGAGGTTCCTAGGTAATTAACTATAAGTGGGGTTATAGGGTTTAGGGTTTAGGGTGTTATAAGTAGGGTAACTGTACTTATGACCTAATTGGGGTACTTATACCTTAGAACCCTTCTGCTAACTCCGCGTGCACCCCCAAGTAGATGGGGAGACCCATTCTGACACCTGTGGCTTCGGGCGGCTGCCGTGATTTTGGCCTGTGCTGGAAGCGTGCATCCAGGCAGATTCGTGCAGTTATGCTGCAACAAGCAGTTTTGATCCCACGACCCTCCACAGCCGGTTTCAGGGGCACGTTCCGTAAGATTTGAGGCCAGCTCTGGGTAGAAGGGAGGCCAGGGGACTTCCACCAGTAGGCCGGCTGTGCAATTCACTGAGTGAGGGGAGTAGGAGTTGTGCTGAAATCCTGTATGTGCAGGTTCTATTGGTGCCTTTTTTTCCGGCCGGCAGGACGGTCACATGCCCCGCACCCCGTACGCCGAATGCGCGCCCGAAACCCTATAAGCTTGAAATTCAAGATATACCCCTGAACCCTAAACACCCTAAACCCTAAACAACAAACCAGATCTCTGAAGTTCGAGGGCCGTTTGCCGGTGCGGAGTCGAGACAACAGTCGCTAGAGGTTGGCCCATGTGATCTCCAGGAGGACCCTTAGCCCTGAACATTGCAACTAGCCCAAAGAGCCCTATACCCCTTAATTAAGGAAGATTCCTTAAATCATACTCAGGATGCCTATATGGTTTAAGGAGAAGTGCTTAATTAAGGGGTTTGGGCAAGAACCCCCCCAAAAAAGTAAAAACATAGGTAACCTTTAACCTTTTTGGGGTAGTATAATCCCTTTACAATCCCAAAGGCTAACCTTAAATTCCCCCAAGTTACTGGACAACAAAGCTTGTAATGTATCATCCCAAGCCGCGAGAGCGGCGAGAAGCACTCCATTTAATTGTATGTTTCTGCGACCTTAATGCAGGGACTATTCGATCAGAATACGAGCCTCCTGCAACCCTAAACCCTAAACCCTTAATCCTAAACCCTAAACCCTACGTAAACCCTAAACCCTAAACCCTGGGTCCAACCCCCAACCCACCCCTCCTCCGGGTACGCAGTCAAGGCTGCAACGTGCCAGAGAGCTCACATGACTCCTACCTCCTTGTTGTCAACTTACAGAGAGCCGAAAACTGCTTCATTCAGGAAGAGTCCTTAAACTACACAGGGAGCCTTGTGATGGCTTAAGCAAGTTTTTCCATTACAACCGCTCCTCCCTCTATATGGTAATTTCCCAAAGTAGGGTACCCTGACAATGACCCACCAATTAGGGTACACCTTCGGAAACTATCTTAGAGGTCCTAAGCCCTAAACCCAAAACCCCAAACCCCAACCCCCCCCCCATGTTTGAAGGCCTGTTCCTCAATTAAGGAGTATTGGGCTCTCTCGGTTCTCGTCTCGGCGGCTTACTCCGCGACCCTTGCAGCCCAAGACCATCCCCTTAGGGCTGGTTTAGGGTTTAGGGTTGATGTGGGAGCAGACCCCAGGTGAAGTACGAAGCCTGTTGCAAAGGGTTTAGGGTTACAAGCCCGACTTCAAATTCAAGCTCGCAGAGACGGTTCGCCACAGAGGTGCTTTATGCGCCGGATCCTGCTCCTACCTGACCAACTGCTCGAAGAAAAAGGGGGGCTACCCCGAAACCCTAAACCCTAAACCCTAAACCCTAAACCCTAAACCCTAAACCCTAAACCCTAAACCCTAAACCCTAAACCCTAAACCCTAAACCCTAAACCCTAACCCTAAACCCTAAACCCTAAACCCTAGACCCCGAACCCTAGACCCAAAACCCTAAACCCCAAACGCTCCAATGACTTCGCCACCTTGGGCTTGAGCACGAACACCTGACGTCTCGCATCAACACGAACCCACAGGGCCACCCCCCCCTCCCCCCCCAAAAAAAAAGAGCTCTCTCTCTCCATACATATATACACATATCTCTATATATATATAGAGAGAGAGTAATAGTGAATAGCAATATTAAGAATAAGAAGAATAGCAGTAATAGAAATTCCCAACCCCCTAACCTGCAGAGCAGAACGACACGCAGTTCTAGCCACTAAGCTGCAGATTCCTTGGGCTGGTTTGGAAATATCTCTACAGCTTCGAGCCCCAAACCCCCCGAATTCAGGGTTTTGGGGCTGTCTGGTAGAAACTTCCGGAAAGCCTAAACCCTAAACCCTAAACCCTACACCCTAAACCCATCAACCAGGCCTAGGTCCCTTGTATCCTGGACCCTGTGGCCCTTTGCATCCTTCCAAGGGAACCCAGGGAGCCCAATACCAGGTAATTGAGGGTTTAGGGTTTAGGGTTCAGAGTTAAGGGTTTGGAGTTTTGGAGTTTGGGGTTGTGGGGTTAAGGCAGCCCGAACGCTGGCACCCTAAACTGTTTCATTCAATAAGGGGTATTGGGCTAACAATCATTATAATAATAGCAATAATAATAATATTAATAATAACAATAATAATAATATTCTTTGGGAGCAGGTCCTTTTCCTGCAGGTCTATGGCTCAAAGGCCAGACTTTCGTGGTGTGTTCCATTCAGTGAGTTTTCTATGGCAGCTTGGTGGCACCATGATAGCCTTCAGTCCCTAGCCCTAAACCCTAAACCCCTAACCCGAAACCCGAAACCCTAAACCCTAAACCCAAAACCACTAACGCCCCAATTTGAGAAAGGGTTTCAGAGCGCTCAGAGCTCCTGGATTAAGGAACGGGCCTTTACGAGGGGCTGAGGGCTGAGAGTTTTCCCTAAACTTTTGTCATAGTGGGGCAGCATTTTACATCCTTTAAGGGTACTTAAACTCAAAAAGGAAAAGAAACAACAATCTCAATACTATCCCAACCATAAGCTAGTAAACCCTAGGCCCATTTCTTTGGTGCTGATAGCTTCAGCCTTTTTGGGGGTATCACACACGCTCTTGAAAGCCTAAACCCTAAACCCCTAAACCCCTAAACCCCGAAACCCCGAAACCCCGAAACCCCTAAACCCCTAAACCCCTAAACCCCTAAACCCATAAACCCCTAAACCCCTAAACCCCTAAACCCCTAAACCCTAAACCCTAAACCATGAACCCTAAACCCTGAACCCTGAACCCTGAACCCTGAACCCTAAACCCTAAACCCTAAACCCTAAACCCTAAACCCCTAAACCCCTAAACCCCTAAACCCCTAAACCCCTAAACCCCTTAAACCCCTTAAACCCCTTAAACCCCTTAAACCCCTTAAACCCTGAACCCGAACACCCACACCCTGAACCCTAAGCCCGGAGCCTGGAGCTTTCCCCTTCGAAAACCTAGGAAACCTGGAGTTCCTAGTTGAAACGGGTGGGTTTAGGGTATAGGGTATAGGGGTTCGGGTTTAGGGCTTAGGGTTTAGGGTTTAGGGTTTTGGGATGTTCCCCCTTATACTAACGGTCCTTCATAGGGATTGCAGTACCCCGCCATTATAATCCCTATGAAGGACTGCTAGAATAATGGGAGACATCCCGAGTCGGGTCATAAGTACCCGAAATTGGATTGTAAGTATAGTTACCATCCTGATAACCCCACATGAATCTCCAAGTACAGGGTTCAAGAGGTCCTCCGAACTAGTTTCCAAAGAGCCCAATGTCCACCTTTTTTTTTTTTTTTTTTTTTTTTTTTAAGAAATAGACCTTAATTAAACCATATAGGATTGGTTTTAATTGTTTAAGGTATATTCCTTATTTAGGGGTATTGGGCTCTGTGGGTGCTCGCCTTTGATGCCTTCCAGTGCCTCAATACATGCCAGCTCTGCCTGTTGTGGCGGCTTGCAGAATTGTATGGTTGAATGGTCGCAGCACTAAACCCTAAACCCTAAACCCAACCCTCCTACCCAAGACCCCGTGAATAAAGAACCTTCAGAAAAGCCCGAGGAGCCTGCACGGCTAGGCTGTGGGTTGAGCCTCTTTTGGCTTCTTGGCGGAAATCACCTCTGCTAATGTTCAAGCTTTCCAATTTAGTATGATCTTGCCAATTGTAGTATAGAGGCATATGAATGCTGGGATACCCCCTAACTTTCGTGAAGGCAGAAAGCTTCATGTCCAACAAGGATCCCCATATGGTGTTTGCCCTAAACGTTAAAGTATACGAGCTTTCCAGACCAGTAGAACTTGTCAGCTTCAGAAAATACATGCTGGGATAGGCTGTGCTTTGGGGATTACCAAGAAAAGGCCAAGAGCCCAACACCCAAGAGCAGAGGGTCCACAAGGTTTGGCTTGCTTGAACCCTAAACCCTAAACCCTAAACCCTAAACCCAAAACCCTAAACCCTAAACCCTAAACCCTAAACCCTAAGCCCTAAACCCTAAACCCGAAGCCTAAACCCCAAACCAAAACCTTATTAAGCGCCAGCAAGTCAGGGTTCATGGCTTTACCTAACTGAGCTGAGATCCTGGGCTGAACTTGTGAGCTTCCCAGAGAACCCAAGGTTTAAGGTTTAGGGTTTAGGGTTTAGGGTTTAGCCCCTATAAAACCTGAAACCCAAGCAAACCCAACAAAAACAACCTGCGAATCGCAGGTAGCCCAGCATCCCTTGCACTCCTTAACGTATTTCTAGAGGGCAAAACCCTAGTCATGGGGCCTGAAAGCCACCAACCCCGTACCAAGATCCTCCCCCCCCGCGCCTTCTACCTAAACCCTATGCACCCTAAGCCGTGTAAGCCCTCACCCCTCATGAATCCTACGCCCCAAGCCCTGAATCCGTAACCATGAAGAATCCAATGTTGCAAGCCCTAAACCCTAAACCCTAAACCCTAAACCCTAAACCCTAAACCCTAAACCCTAAACCCTAAACCCTAAACCCTAAACCCCCTGGAATCCCAAGCTCCGAGCGCGCGAGGTTCGGCCTCCTGCTGCCGCAGGCCGCGGCCTTGCGCGCTTCGACTGCACGAGCCCTTGCAGGAACCCCGAAAGAGTCAAGGGTTTAGGGTTTAGGTTTAGGGTTTAGGGTTTAGGGTCTAGGGTCTAGGGTTTAGGGTTTAGTAGCTGAGTGAGCACACGTTACACTTTTTGGGCTACTAGAAGTGTACACTTTTTTTGGGCTTATGAACTCAGCAACGAAGTTAGTCCAACATCAACCAGGAACCCTCTCATTAGGGTTTGGGGTTTCGGGTTTGCATAAAGAGTCTGGGTTCGTTTAGGGTTTAGGGTTTAGGGTTTAGGGTTTAGGGTTTAGGGCTACGACTCACTTCTTGGAGGATTAAGGCTCGTACCCCTAAGGCTGCAACCCCTGGAGGGTCTTAATATTCGCTCCTGAGATTCCTTCCGAGGATCCTCAAAAATGGTCCCCAAACCCAAGGGTACACCCCTAAACCCGAAACCCGAAACCCTAAACCCTAAACCCTAAACCTTAACCCTAAACCCAAAACCCTAAACCCTTAGGGGTCCAAGGCAGGGTCCCATGACCCTATAATCAACCTACTTGGAGGTTCATGAGTCGTTATAAGTAGGTATAAGCATGAACAACCCCATTTAGGGTGGCTACCAGGTACTTGCTTTTAGTAGGGGAATGAGGGAATTAGTCAGTATATATAATCCCTGCGCCCGAATCCCTAAACTCTACAACTATGAAAACCCTAAACCTACACAACTGACCAGGAATGCACCTTACATTATAATAAGGCTCCCTCCTTTGGATTCAGCTCCCTCCTTTGGATTCAAGTACATTCCTTAACTAGTATTGAACCCTTAGCCCTACTTCCTGTACCCGAAACCCTATTCTAGCAGGGAATGGCGGAACTAGGTACCTTACACATATATATATATAGATATATATCCCCTTATGAATTCTTTAAAAAAAGGGTGTAGGTTTGTTCATGTTGGGTGGGTCTTCGAATTTCTTAGTCAGCACTGCACAAAGCTCTAAGGGTACTTACATGGTCCTTAGGGTACATGAGGGGTATAGGGTTTAGGGTTTAGGTACATAGCCCGGGGTTGCAAAGGGTTGAGAAACCAAAACGACCATTCTTCGCGAGCTTGGGCTCTCGCAATCCTTGCGAGTTCCGGAGGCAACTCAAACATCCCATGTAAGAAATCTGCCGCAAGAAAGGAATATGGGAGCCCCCAAGCCCGGGCAATTCCTTCAAGGCCCCTCCTCTTACGACCTCCGTGAGAACCTGGCCGGCCGTGTTTGGCCTCTCGTGCGCGGCGTGGTCGAAGGAGGAGGCCGGAAAAAGGACGACATACCCAAAGAGCCCGTTGCCATTACCTTAAGTCATAATAAGGATCCGTATATGAAGTGCAAGGTTCTTCAATTAAAGGGGCATGGCAGGTATGGCTGGTATGGCAGTGGCAGGTATGGGGTGAGGATGGGGTTGTTCAGCGCTTATTGGTTGTGCATCCGAAGTATCCCTTTTTGCAGAATATGCAAGCTGGCGATCCGTCCAATCTCTGCGTCTGATGGCTCTTGACTGACGAAGCCTTGTAGGGACTTTACAGGCGGCCTAATCCCCAACTCCCTATGAAGAACTAGTAACTAGTAGGTACATCTTTCCGCTTCCTCGTGTCCGGGTTCTTTCGCCAGGTTCCGCGGCGCTACAGCTGGACCACGAGAGGTACTGGCAGCAACGATTGTCTGGACTGCGCTGGAATGAAGATATGCCAGCGTCAACCCCAGACGCTGCAGTACTCAAAGCCTTCAACCCCAAACCCTAAGCCCAACACCCGAAACCTAGATGATCGCTGTGCCAGGCATAGCTTTCAAGCACCTGCAGCATGTGCCTCACAGAGTGGCGCTGTGACTTGGCATGGTGAGGAGAGGGCTCCCAGACAGCCCCATACCACCTAACTAAGTAATTAAGGAATCGAATTGGTCCGTATAGGGGTTCTTTTCTGGAACCAAAACCATGTTCCTGAATTGGGGGTATTGAGCTCGTTGGGTTTCGGTTTCGTGTTTTGTTTGCTCGTCGCCGGGGTTAAGGCTGTTGACAGCATCCGACTGCATGTCTGACGGTTGGTGTGGGGACGTCCCGGCAGGAAAGCCCTAAACCCTAAAACCCTAAAACCCTAAAACCCTAAACCCTAAACCCTAAACCCTAAACCCTAAACCCTAAACCCTAAACCCTAAACCCTGCATGCCCTGGTCCAGACCGAGGCCCAGCATACTTTATCGGGTTCTCAAGGGAGGGGGGGTGTTTAGGGTTTAGGGTTTAGGGTTTAGGGTCCCAAGCCTACCCCCCTTGAACGCCCCTCCCCAAAGAACCCTTCAAGTAATGCTTCAGAGCAATCGCGAGCTCGTGCGAAGGTTGAAACGCTTGTGCGAGAGAGGTTCAGCTCTAGATATGGTCTTTCACAAATAGAGCACCCCTCAAACCCTAAACCCTAAACCCTAAACCCAAAATACTTGAATTCTTATTGCAGGAACCCCGAAGATGCCCCCATTGTCGGAAACCAGCACATCTCAAAACCCTAAACCCTAAACCCTAAACCCTAAACCCTAAACCCTAAACCCTAAACCCTAAACCCTAAACCCTAAACCCTAAACCCTAAACCCTAAACCCTAAACCCTAAACCCTAAACCCTAAACCCTAAACCCTAAACCCTAAACCCTAAGCTAGGTCGGGTGCCGCGTGCTGCAGCATGCCTTCCGACGCTATCAGGCAGAGACAGTCTTCTGCGCGCCCTCCATACCCCTTATTGGGTTTGGGGTTCAGGGTTTAGGGTTTAGGGTTTAGGGTTTAGGGTTTAGGGTTACCTCTGACTGAAGGAAACTCTCCTTCTCAAGCATAAGGATCATACATACCTCAAGCATAGAAGGAATGTCAGAAGGATTCCCATGTATTTTAATCCGTGCCCTTCAAGTAGGGATGGGGGGTGGGGGTTGGGGAAATTGACCCTAAACCCTAAACCCTAAACCCTAAACCCTAAACCCTAAACCCTAAACCCTGAACCCTCTTTCCTGGCTTTGTTTACAGATGCAGCCTTGGGCAATCTCGCGTACCCCGGTCAAGGCGCCTCTTTGTTGCCAGCTTGTGCCCAAACTGCCCATATGCGTCAATCTGTATATATATATATAAATCTATATATGTATATATGTGTGTATATATATGGGCATACTTTTACAGCACAGTTTAGTTTCGTGTATTATATGTGTGTGTATGTATACGTAGAAGTAGAAGCATAAATTCACACCAATTAAATAATCACGTATATATATGTATATATATATACACATATTCAAAAGAAGTAAGTGAGTTCAAATAAAGTAAATGAAGGTACATATAAGCAAAAAATGTATGAACAAATATAAGTGTAGATACAAGTCTGCGCATACATAGATAAATACACATGGCACCAGGGCGGCCCTTGTGATGAGGCCTTGCTTTTCCCGCACCATGCAGATTCGGCAGCCCGGCGCCCAAAGAGCCCTCAGAATACCCTTTGATTCAGGGTTCAGGGTTTAGGGTTTAGGGTTTAGGGCTTCGGGTTTCGGGTCTCGCCCAAAGAGCCAGGAGGAGCACACCTTAAGCAATACTTAGGGTCCCTATAATTTGGGTGTAGGGTTTAGGTTCCTGGATGCAAAAAAAGAGTCCCGATCCAGTCTGGGTTTAACAAGGGTTTAGGGGTATGTGATGTGTGGGTTTAGGTAGGTGGCTTCAAGGAAGCAGTCCTTAGGGATAGCGTGCCCTAAGCCCTGAACACCAAACATTCAGGCTCAAGGAGGATGTTAAGGATCCTGAATCCAGAGAGCCCACGGCCCCCTGATTCAGCAGTAGAGGGTTTAGGGTCTCGGGTTTAATGTTTAGGGAAAACACTCGAACATTCTATGTGGCGTAAGGTATGTAGGTTTCTTGGGTAGTTATAAGTATGGTAACTATACTTACCCTGTTCAGGGGACCCACAGGCCTACGTATGGCCAGACACGAACCTCCTAGTAAGTAAACCCTAAACACTAAACCCTAAGCCCTAAACCCTATACCCTAAACCCTAAACCCTAAAAAAACACCCTAAACCCTAAACAACCCTAAACCCTAAACCCTAAACCCTATTTCTACACATGAACCTCCAAGTATAGTCACATAGCCGAACTGAGGGGAGCGTGTCCTTCCTGCAGAAGGCCACCAGCAGCAGGCGCATAAGAGGGTTTCAGGGTTTAGGGTTTTAGGGGTTTAGTGTTTAGCGTTTAGGTTTAGGGTTTAGGGTTTAGGGTTTAGGGTTTAGGGTTTACTTACTAGCAGGAAAACCGATTCAAAAGTCTGGCAGGCTGGGCGTTGCCCGCAGTACAGCAGTTCAGGTGCAGGACGGGCAGCATCGGCCCCTAAACCCTAAACCCTAAACCCTAAACACCCCTTAGCTGAGGAAGATACCTTGCACGCACGACACTGCGGTTTAGGGTTTAGGGTTTAGGGAGTAGGGTTGACTAGGCTTTAGGGTGGTCCAAGGTGTATTCGTGTAATCCCGAATATCAGATACAGTTCTATGGGCCCTGATCCGTAAAACCCTTCTAAGAATTCAAAACTTACATGCTAACCCTGCATAAGCCGTCTCAGAGACTCCAATACCCCTCAACTATAAGGAATATTCCTGAAACCATAGAAAGAACCCCTCGTATACTTTGGGGAATTATTCCTTCAAAAAGGTGTATTGGAGTCCTTGGCGTGGGCATTTCTCTTCTTATCGCGCCCCCCCAAATCCACCCTGCTTGACTATTTGCCTAAGCCCCAACAAATAAAAAAGATAAAAAACCAGTATTTTGAACATATAAGGAAGTATATATGATGCCGGTGCGGGCCTCCCCCCCCCTCCCAATGGTACCCCTCCCCCCTCCCCCGATTGTGGTTGTGGGTTGGGTTTTAGAGTTTAGGGTTAGGGTTTGGGGTTTAGGGTTTAGGGTTTAGGGTTTAGGGTTTCGGGTTTAGGGTTCCCCCCACCCCCCAGTGGTGTGGTTGTCGGTTGGTTTTAGGGTTCTAGGGTTTAGGGTATGAGGTTTAGGGTTTAGGGGGTTGGGAGGGGGGGGGGGGCTGGCGAACCCGGAACCGGGATCACATATATGTATGTGTGTGTATATATAGCCGGGCGCGGGATTTAAGACGTCCCTTGGTTTTAAATTACAAAAGAGAGGTTTCTGGTGTTTGAAGGCGATATTTTTTTTCCCGGAATCGGGTGTTTACCATAAGATCAGGTGGTTAGGCTGAATATGTAGGACCCGCGCCCGGCATAGGTGTGTTTGGTAAGTCTTAAGTGCCGTGTCGTTGGTCAGTTGTTTGGATTTCAGGGGTTGGAGTGTCATTGGATTGAACTAGGCTTGCAAGTGTGAGGCTCCAGGCCCAGTGTTTCGACCATGCTAAATGATCAGCATCGCAACATATCACACATCATCGTCTTCAATGGTGTGAAGCTGCTGTCGGAGAAATGAGCGAAGAACCCAGGGGCGTCTTAAATATTCGGCCATATTAAAGAGCTCAAGAAGAGGTAATTTGGGAGGTTTTAGTAATGAAAGCCTAATGAAAAGCAACAGCGAGGCTTTGTCGGAGCAGAATCTGTCTTGAGTCTCTAAGGAACCCGATTCAGACGGCAATACAAGAAAAACTACACTTCGTAGACAATCACAGGGACATAAGGGGCGTCTTGAATCCCGCGCCCGCCTATATATTTCTATTTATATTTATATTTATACGTATATCTATATTTATTTTTATATTTACATTTATATTTGTACTTGTATTTGTATTCATATTTATTTATTAGTATTAGTTATTATTATTCTTATTGCTATCATCATTATTATTGTCAGTGTATGTTTTAAATGACTTTTTAAGGGTTCTTAAGCATTTAGTAGCCCCACTTGAGCTGCAGGACCTGTTCGCCCCGCTAGCTCTCGGTGTGAACGAGTCCTACGAGCTCGCGGTGTCAGCCGAAGGCAGCGTGAAGGGCTTCAACTGGCCCCAGACCCTAAACCCTAAACCCTTAGCCCTTAGCCCTTAGCCCTAAACCCTAGGCCCGAAAACCCATGGTTCAGGGATGCCAGGCTTAAATCCTAAACCCCTAAACCCTAAACCCTACAAACTCTACAAACCCTACAACGCCTACACACATACATATATATATATATACATATACACCCACACACATATGTGTAGATATTCTCTCACTCACTCTCTCTCTCTCTCTTTGTGCTCTCGTGGTGAGTGACTTCGAGGCCGTGTGGCCATCTCATCTCAGACCGCTTGGGGTGCCCTGCGGGGCCTCGAAACGCTCTCACAGCTGGTGGACGCTCAGCCCGAAAGGCGCCGACAGTTTAGGGTTTAGGGTTTAGGGTTTAGGGTTTGGGGTTTAGGGTTTAGGGTTTAGGATTTAGGGTTTGGGGTTTGGGGTTTAGGGTTTGGGGTTTAGGGTTTGGGGTTTAGGGTTTGGGGTTTAGGTTTCCTAGAAAGCCCAGTACCCCTTAACTGAGGAATATGCCTTAAACTACATAGGGATCTTTTTGCTATTTAGGCCATATTCCTTAACCAATGGGTTTGGGGCTCTCTTGGGCTTAGTTAGGGTTCAGGAATGATGCAAGCCTGTGTCATCTGAATGCGCAGGAAGGTGTGTTGGTGGTGTGTTCTTGTTCTGGGCCCTAGACCCTAAACCCTCAACCGCCAAGGAGTACAATTTCACCACGGACACCTACTCCATCCATGATGTGCCATTCCGAATGGAGGACCTTCAACAAGCAATGCCGGCTGTGAACGCCCTCAACCCTAAACCCTAAACCCTAAACCCTTGGATCATCCGGAGCCTCGCCAGCGTGTGCGCCAGTGTGAGAGTCGAAACCCTAAACCCGTAAGCCAAAACCCTAAACCCTAAATCCCAGAAAGCCCAAAACCTCTTAATTAAGGAATGCACACCTTAAACTAAAGCCAGAAGAACGACCAAAACCCCTTAGTTAAGGAATACACCTTAAACTTAAACTATATAGGGATCCTGAGTATGATTTGAGGTATAGGTATATTCCTCACAGGCGTTTGTGCCGTCGGCGAACATGCCCAGAAGAGTGGTATTTACAGCGGCTCTTCGCACACAAGCTGCAAAGAAGATGTTTGACGTCTCTGCCACAAGACATGCTGTCAGAAGCGTTGGTGCCTTCTTGCAACAGGCACAGCAGGCCCAGCAACACTGGTACTTGCACTGAAAATAGTCTTGGGCGCCCCCGAAAGGCTGCCGTTTCTGAAGTGCGATGCCTGCCAACAGACCCGAAGATCGGACCCCGCTCGAAACGAAGGGAGAAGAAGTGCACCTACTTGGAAGCCCTTTTTAACTTCGAGAGAGTTGGGTTCTGGGGGATCATTCTAGGATTTCTGAGGGGCTACTAAGTAGACTTACGAGGTCAAAAGTGCCTCCAAGTGGCGGTTAGATAGCTTGCTCTGGGCCTTTCATCCGCTTAGGAACCCCCCAAAAACTAGAAGATCAAAATCCATGTAATACCCTTGCAAGGACGAATATGTTTGTCTTTTGGGGGGCTCTTATGCAAATAGTAGATTATAGGGTCCTTCAGGGAGGGGGGTTCAAGGGGGCATGTAACCTAAGGTTCCCTACTACTTTGTTAAGGGGCAAAACGGAGGGACCCCTAGAAGGGACCCGTACTCATATTCCCCAAAATAACCCTTACATAACTCCTATATATAGCTTATATCGTGCCTAGAATACCTACGTCGCCCCCCAAGAACTCCCTCCTTTAGTTCCTTGAACTCTGCCCAGGGACTCCAACACCCCCCTAGTTAAGGAATATTCCGCAAAACATGAGAGGGTGCGTTGTCTGGTTGAAGGAATATTCCTAAACGAAGGAGTATTGGAGTCTCTGGGTGTAAGGCTCCCGAAGCTTCCCCAAGCTTCCGTAGTGCCAGGATGCCCCCTCTAGTTTCCACGTGGGGGGGGGGGGTAGTAGCCCTAAACCCTAAACCCTAAACCCTAAAGGGTCCCTCCTTATACCCCTTAAGTCTTACGTAGTGCCAGGATGCCCCCCAGTTTCAGCATCGGGGACTGCTCGTCGACTCGGCGCGGCACTTCTTGCCGCCAATCCGTGTCCCGGCTCATAGGGCTGTAGGGCTGTAGGGCTGAGACCTGAACCCGAAACCCGAAACCCGAAACCCGAAACCCTAAACCCTAAACCCTAAACCCTAAACCCTAAACCCTAAACCCTAAACCCTAAACCCTAAACCCTAAACCCTAAACCCTAAACCCTAAACCCTAAACCCTAAACCCTAAACCCTAAACCCTAAACCCGAACCCTAAAGCACAAACCCTAAACCCTAAACCCCTTAGGGTTTCCGGTTTTAGGGCGGCGCTTCGGGTCGGCTACGAGGGCTCAGTTTTTTTTTTGGAATTATAAAATTATAGAGGGGTTTCGGAAGAATCAGGAATAGTATTCCTTTCTGGTTCCAATATAGTTATACTTTAATGACCCCCCCCCCCCAAAGCCCAGTGCTAAATATTAAGGCTAAACCCTAAACCCTAAACCCTAAACCCTAAACCCTAAACCCTAAACCCTAAACCATTTTTTTGGAGAGCTCCGGGTTGGAGAATGGGATGTACGTCGGAGAAGGTTTGGGACGGAGACGGGTTTGGGGCTTCGTGTGGCTGAGGGCTGAAGGCTTCTGGGCATCGCCCGCCACCTGCACTTTGCAATTACCCCTAAACCCCAAATCCTAAACCCTAGGTACAGTAAATATCCCAGAGACTCCAACTCCTCTTAATTTTAGGAATGACCCCCCTAAAAGAGAGTATTTTTCCTATTATGGTTTTCAGGAAGATTCCTGAGTTAAGGAGTGCTGGAGTCTCTTTTTTGGAGCCCTAAACCCCAAACCCTAAGCCCTAAACCCTAAACTAGCCCCAAACCCTAAACCCTGAACCCTATTCCTTGAATATTGGAGCATTGGAGTCCCCTAAACCCTAAACCCTAAACCCTAAACGAGTCTCTGGGGAGGGTGGGGGGGGCAACGTTCAGGCCTCAAGCGCACAATCGAGGCGATGCTGCGTGGCAGCACAGCCGGCTCGTGGCTTTAGCAACAGGAAAACGCCGTGGTTTAGGGTTTAGGGTTTAGGGTTTAGGCCTTTGGAACATGTTATGTTTACCCTTATTAGGTTTAAGTGGATCGTGTTCAGGAGTATGTTTTAGGTGTTTTAAGAGCAATCCGAGTATTCTCATGCTGTTTTTTATCGGAAAACATGGGCCCGTATTCCGATGCACCGTTTAGTAAGAAGGGTTTGGGTTTTGTCAAAAAAGGTTGAATGATCTCAGGATGAAACGCTTGGGCTGATGTGGACTTAAGTTTTTGGAGATGGATGTGTCCTAACCCCTCCAAGTCTCCGTATAAGCCAAAGAAGCTGAATGTTTGAATTTCTTTCCTGCAGGGCAGCTCATTGCTCTGCAGGTGTTTATGTTGAGTTTCGCTATTGCTCATCGAGGGAGGCTGCAGCCATACCCTAAACCCTCAACATGTTCAGTCTGTGACTTTGACCACGAGAGCAGCATCTCAGGTCTTTTGCCAAGCTCAACGTGCTCCACTGGCATTTGACGGAGGATGAGTTCCTAGGCGATTAAAGGCAATTGCCGTGAGAGGGCACGCTCGTGCGCGCACACACGCACACAGGCATGAATACTCACATACACAGGTGGATAGATGCAAGTAGATACCGAAACTGCTATATATAGATATAGATAGATACATATATATATATAAATTATCTGTATAGAAGGACAATTGGTATTTATTTACTTTTTGTGTATGTGCATATAACTACAACACACACATATATATATAGATACATATGATGTATGCATGCATAGAAGAACCATCCGGCCTTTGTGCAGAGGTCCTTCTCCATGCCCAGCTCGTCGCACCCGGAGCTCGCAGAGAAGGGTGCATGGAGCGCCAGTGAAAGGCGACAGCTGCAAGCCCTAAACCCTAAACCCTAAACCCTAAACCCTAAACAGTTCGGATTTTGGGAGCCCAGGCCTCAGGAAAGCTCGAATGCAACCTGGAAAGGTACTCGCTCCACGACGTGAAGGACATCGTAGACTTCGCACAGCTGCATGGCGTCCGAGTCATTCCCGAATTTGATATGTCGCGACCCCAGATGGCAGGGTTTGGGGTTCAGGGTTCAGGGTTTAGGGTTTGGTATTGGGCTAACGCGTCCGCCTCTGGAAGATTCCTTAATTTGTCTGGTGGGCATCAACATGTCACCATGTTAGGAAGAGAAGGGGATAACCCTAAACCCTAAATCCTAAACCCCTAAACCCTAAACCCTAAGCCCTAAGCCCTAAACCCTAAACCCTAAACCCTAAATTGGGATGGCCAGGCCTGGGCATGTGAGCTCCTGGAGCAAGTCGCACGCGGAGCTCTTCGACCCACGCTGCCTGGAGAGGCACGCCACCATTCCCAGAGAGCCCGAGACAGGTTTAGGGTTTAGGGTTTGGGGTTTGGGGTTTGGGGTTTAGGGTTTAGGGTTTAGCTGACATGCAGAGTCTGGATTCAGCACTGTTAGGTCTCTTCTTAAACCCCTAAACCCCTAAACCCCTAAACCCCTAAACCCCTAACCCCTGCAACGGTGCGTGGTGCTTTTGAAAGAGGTCAAGGCGGCTGGCCTTCGAGCCCACGAAGGACCTTCGCTCTCATGTCTCCTCCTAGGATGCCCAGTAGTACCCTTATTCCCTTTTTGAGGGGTTTAGGTTCCCTGAAAAACCCCTTTAAGCAAAAAATGGCACCCTTTTTAAGCCTAGGATACTGGGCAGCCTAGCCTCAGTTGATGACTGCGGTAACCCAAAGAACTTTTGAGGGGTTTAGGGCGTTCGGGGTTTAGGGGTTTGGGGTTTAGGGGTATAGGGGTTTAGGGTTTAGGGGTTTAGGGCTTTCGGGGTTTAGGGGTTTAGGGCTTTCGGGGTTTAGGGGTTTAGGGGTTTAGGGCTTTCGGGGTTTAGGGGTTTAGGGGTTTTGGGGTTTAGGGGTCAGGGGTTTTGGCTACGGCTCAAGTTTGGCTACGAGGCTCTAATGAGCATACTGTTCTATAATTCGCTCGCGCGTTTGCTGCAATGGATTCATCACCGTCTGGGAAGCGAAAACTGGTGTCTTGCCTAGCTTATTCCTTGAGATTATCCACCAGACTGAACTATCGGATGACAGCTAGCATCTTGAAGTGCACCCTACAAGAGTTGTGCGATCATCCGGCCGTATCGACTCGAAGAACCATCAGCTTGTATGACGCCCTGCATGTTGACGACGGCGCGTGGCATCAACATAAACCACAGGGGGTCGGGCTGCATCTGCATGAGGCCGAGAATCGACCAAATGATGCGGATGACTATGGTGAGTGTGCTTCATCCGGTGCGGGTGGGGTAATGTCAATGGGGACGCAAACTACGCACAGGGTCTATACTGATGATGAGTGCCGGAACATCGCTCAGACTTTGGTGGCAAATGTGGTGGCAACGACTGAGGCCTCTCTTCAAACCTTACAGAGACGGATTTATGAACTCGAACGAGATGCGGGCCTCTGCGAGCTTGAGCAACCAGGCTCAGGTGAGGCAAGCCTCCCGATGCAACCTTTCGGTCCAGCTCTGGATGATGCAAGAGAAGAGAAACCTCGTGAATCCTCGGTTCAACCTTTCGGTAGAGTTCTCGATGATGCAAGCGAAGATGAACCTTGTGAGTCCTCGCAGTGTCTTGATTTGCCTGAAAATGCGGGCATACAAGCTTTAATTGAGCAGCAACGATTAAGGCGCTTAGCTATCCGTGACTTACGTCGCATTTCTAGGGTCTTCTCTGCGAAGTTGTAGTCTGGCTGTTGCTGCATGCGCTTGCTCTTACTCACCGTAATTCGCACACTTCTGACTGTCCCGCTTACACTTTCACGGGGGTAGCCACGAGAGCTGTCCCTGGCAGGCTTGACGTTTCGAATGCCTGAGAGAGAGAGAGGGGTCAGGGGTTTAGGGTTTAAGGACAGCCAGCGTGGCTTATAAGGTAGGTTCGTTATTTGAGATGTATTGGGCTCTTTGCGAATGACACATGGGCTGCGTGCAGTCAATGGACTAAAGAAGGGGTTCTTTAAGGGTTAATTTGGGGGCTACTTAGGTTTTCAGGTACTATATACTACATAAGGTATATATGGGGGATATAGAGGCATACAACATAAGGTGTATATATATATATATACATATATAGGGGTTATATAGGGGTTATATAGGGATACCCCTGAATGCAGGAAGTGTTCGACTTCTTGCAGGGCCTCCTCACAGAATGGGCGACCGGAGTTTTCCATGATCAGTTCTTTCACCTAGGCTCGGAGATGCCTTTGCGCAATATAGGGGCCTGCGCTAGAATAGGGTCTAGGGTTTAGGGTTTAGGGTTTAGGGTTTAGGGTTTAGGGTTTAGGGTTTAGGGTTTAGGGTTTAGGGTTTAGGGTTTAGGGTTAAGGGTTAAGGGTTTAGGTAGAATTGGGTTTTTGGGGGGGGGATCATTATAGTAGAACTACAGAGGGACCATAAGGGAATCCTATTAGTATTTCTTCCGACCCCGATCGTATAGGCGTGGCGGGACACAGTCCTGCCTCACAGGGTTTCTCTTTAGGGTTTTGGGTTTTGGGTTTTGGGGTTTAGGGTTTAGGAATTATGAATAAAGGACATTGTCTCACTTGAGTGGTATTGGGCTCTCTGCGTAGCATGACACGTGGGGACTGAATATTCCTCATCGAGAGGATCCTTACTTGATTTATGTGTTAAGGCATTTTGTCAAACCATAACAGGTCCTAGCGTGATTTAGCGATAGTTGCTGGGAGGTTTATGGGTAGTTATAGGGATATCAGTGCCAGGGGCTTGCGGTCGAGGGTTTACCCCGCCTCGCCCCAGCCCTCCACCTCTCCACCCAATACAAGGGAAACTCTCTCCACCACCCACCACCCACCACCCCCCCCCCACCCCCCATACTGCAAAAAGCGGAGGGTTCCCTCCCCAACACGCCGCCCAGGGTCGACGGATAGGCTTAGAAGTATTATCACCATACTTGTAACCCCACTGATTTCTACCCAGGAGCATCTTCGGGTTTAGGGTTTAGGGTTTAAGATTTAGGGTTGGAGTCTCTGGGAAGGCGGTGATGAGGTGCCCTTCGAGTGCTGGGAGCGGCTGTCTGTCTCAGAGGGCGGTCTCTTGGCCTGAAATTACCAAGCGCCCAAGACCCATAAATTAAGGAATGCACCTAAAACCCACCATCTACTACTTGCTTCAGAACCCCAAAAGAATAAAAGATAATAATCCCTATATTGCCCTCATAAGGAAGAATATGTTTAAACTTTAGAGGCAGATTTTTCCTTAGGGGGTCTTGGGCTCTCTCTCGGTCGCATGACGTTCAGTGGAGGCACTTGTGGGTCTCCCCAGCCGTTGCCACGCGAAGAGCATTTTCCTTTGTGATTATGTACGTACCTCCTTATATAGATATAGTTATGTTAATTCGCTTTTGTAATTATGGTATTTCATTGTTATATTACAATATTACAAAGTCTTGTATTTGTAGATGGTCGAATCATTATACTGCTCTTTGATTATTTGTTGTATTGCTATATTATCATTATCGTGTATAGTATAGTGTATGTTAATCGAGATTCGGTTTATCGTAGCATTATAGCTATGTGTTACAATATTGGTATATTGTAAGATATTCTTCTCACAGCATACTATCGCATTGTCATGTTAATTTAGTCTAATACTTTCTTTGTCCGTATCTATATGATGTTATTATGTTGTGTTCTTACATGACTATGATATAGTGCTATATTTTGTTCACGCTTTTGCCTCATTCTGATCTTCATTATTCTATATACCATTACAGCTTTTGTAAGGCAAGACCTACGACACACCGCCCAAGCTGTTCCGGCACTTTGTCGGAAGCATGTTTCGGCGCGTCACTGGACCGCTCAACCGCTCGGCGATCTTTTGGGACGAGGCCGGCTGATGCAAACCTGACTCATAGTGGGGTAACATTTTACATGTTTAAGGGTACTTAAACACAAAAAGGAATAGACATTTAAGTTTTGAATACTATCCCAACCATGAACTAGAAACTACGCTTGGCCCTGTTGCCCCCTTGGCCTGGCAATTGTGTGCGGACATCCACGGGCTCTGTCTTCAGGCGTTTGTCTCAGCCGACCTGCCCGCGGAGGCTGTAGTTCAGGTGGCTTGTCTGCGATTTAGAAGTGTGGGGACATGCCTACTGATGTTCGTGGGTAGCTATAAGTAGGGTTATCAGTACCCTAAACAGGGTTGCGAGTAGAGAGACCCTACTTTTTGCCCATCTTATAACTACCCACGAACCTCCAAGTATCCACTGCGGATGTGCGTATCTTTGGGCATGCCACGGACCATAATGCCGCAAGTGTCCCGAACGCAGATTCCAACCCCTCTCCCCGAATGAAGTCGATACATGTTAATTTCAGGCTATAGGGTTCATAGGGTTTAGACGAGTCCTGCTTCAAAAAGTGTTAAAAAATTCGGGGTTGAGGATTTTGGGTAATTATGTTAATGGACCGAGACCTAGAAGTCAAGAAGAGAGCTGGACATGGCGATTCTCATCACCAAATGGCGAAAACTATGAGTATTTTGTAGTTTTCCGATTATTATGATCTTATATTACGGGTAATATACTATTATGTATTTATATTATTCTATCATTACATGATTGCTTGATCATATGAGTACATTGTTATATATTTTGTATACGAGGCAAAACCAGCAAGCCGCCCCTTTGAAACTAAAGAGTTCTCTTACTTTGGGGTTGAAGGTTTTGGGTTTAGGGCTTAGGGTAGACTTCCACTCAAGCACCCTCAACCTACACTCCTAAACATCCTTCACCGCAGAGCTGCAAACCTCAACCCTTAACCGCATACCTGCAGCGGTTGCCCCCTGGCGATCTTTCAAAAGTTGCACCTTAAATCACAGGGTTTTTATTCTGAATTTACAGGTGCATTCCTTAATGAGGGGGTTTGTGGGCCCTCTGTGAAACATGACTTGGAGGTTCATGGGTAGTTTCAAGTGGGGTTACAAGTCTGGTAACTACACTTGCAACCCGATTCAGGGTGCTTAGAACCCTACTTTTATTTGCCCTAAACCCTAAACCCTACTAAACCCTAAACCCTAAACCCTAAACCCCAAACCCCAAACCCTAAACCCTAAACCCTAAACCCTACTTCCCTGCCCAACTGAACCCCCAAAGCAGGTGTGGCGCGACAAGAAGACGCTGGTCCGGGCCGTGCAAGCCGGGCACCGTGCGCTTCTCTCCTGGGGCTGGCACCTTTGGGCGCAAGGGTTAGGGTTTAGGGTTTAGGGTTTAGGGTTTAGGGTTTAGGGTGTAGGGTTTAGGGTTTAGGGGTTAGGGTTTAGGAGTCAGGGTTTAGGCGCAGGGGTTTTGGGTTTAGGGTCTATGGCGCAGGGGTTTAGAGTTTTAGGGTGTTAGGCTTCTAGGGTTTCAGGACTATGGAACGGGTGACACAGTTAGCGTCGTTGTCACGAGAACTGTGATGCTGGTTGTGTGAGCCTGAGTTTCCTGGCAGCTGCGAAGTCCTGGTTGCAAGAACTTTCGGGTTTTGGGCTTACAGCCCGGATGCGCATCCTGCTGGTTTAGGCTTCTGTGTTAGACACTTGCGCATGTACTGGGATGGTTTGGATAAGGGTGCCCTTTGTTGCCGAGTGTCGTGCCCCTCTGGAAGCAAAGCGTAGAAATGTTTCAAAGGCATATGAGCACATTCTTATACTAACATGATAGTGCAATCTCGTAATGCTATGACATTAAACGAGTATGCCATTACTCATTATCCTATTGTAATTTTAGTAGAATTGTGTACCATTCTGTTGTTATGTCATTCCACAGTTATCTTATTTTATCATTCGAGTATATGATTCTCTTATTATATTGGTACATTCTTATATCATATGATCTTATCATTAAAACATTGTATGATTAAGTTCTTATACTGTTTTATCTTGTTATATTCGTGTTGTGTTTACATATGAGTATATGTTTGTATTTAACTTGTTAATATATGGCATGGTTGCAGAAATTTTCGGGGGGTGTCTGCCACTTCCATGGCAGCTGGTGAAGCATGCCCGGGAAGCAGGGTTTAGGGTTTAGGGTTTAGGGTTGCATGGTGGGTTTCCCAATCAAGGGTGTAGTCACCGTGGTTCTTTGCTGCCGAGGTACTTGGATCATCTAAATGAAGACTGGCAAGGACTGTGCGGACGAGTGAATAGGTATGCAGGTATCCGAGACGATGATGTAGAAGTAAAACCCTAAACCCTAAACCCTAAACCCTCAAACCCTCAACCCTAAACCCTAAAGCCTAAACCTCTATGAGCTTGCGGCTTTCTTCCTTGGCCCGCGGCGCAGGAATGTACGACAATGATCCCGTGGGTGGCGTTCCTGAGGACCAGAAGGATAAGGTGCTTGGAGGCCGATGTATCGGGAAGCGGCTCCAGTCGGTAGTTGTTTTAGGGTTTAGGGTTTAGGGTTTAGGGTTCAGGGTTTAGGGCACCCAGACTCCCAAGATGGTTTGAGGTGTATTCCTGAATGAAGGGGTGTTGGGCTCTCCGGGAAAGTCGACCTTGCATGACTGTCCTGTACTTCGCCGCGTTGTGCCTGTCGGCCGTTCTGAGGTCTTGTCGCCCTGAGTATACCTACCAAAGCATCATCGTCCGTTGTATATGAACCTCCCAGAGGGTACCCCGAAAACCCTAAACCGTAAACCTTTTTCCCGCACTTTGCGCTTTAAGTGCATCGGGCTCATATTTTCGTCTCGCGCTCGGGTTGCCGCGGCTGCAGAAACCCGTAAACCTTCGGCGGGGAAAAGCCCCAAAGCCGGAACCCTAAACCCTAAACCCTAAACCCTACACCCTAAACCCTAAACAGGTGAGGGCTGCATGTGGGGAGAGACGGTGGATGGCCCGGGACCCCAGGTCTGCGAGGGCCGGCCATTTTGGGTGTATTTATGGCCAGGAGAACGAGGATTGGGAACAGGGTTTAGGGTTTAGGGTTTGGGGTTTGGGGTTTAGGGTTTAGGGTTTCGGGTTTAGGGTTTAGGGTTCAGGGTTCGGGTTCAGGGTTTAGGGTTCAGGGTTTCTTTTCGCGGGTTGTGGTTCAAGGCTTCGGAGTTTCGGCTCTCTGTTTGAAATATACTTTCGGGGCTTTAGGGTTTTAGGGTTTAGGGTTCAGGGTCTAGGCAGCCGTGTAGGGTTTAGGGAGCCCGACGGCTGCACGCGTTCGGGTTTGGGTGCCTTTTGGGCCTCAGGTGCAGCTAAACGCCCAGTAGCCTGTAGCCCGACTGCACTTGAAGGTTCAGGGTTTAGGGCCCGTAGAAGGGACCCGGAATCTTATTCCCCTGTACCACCCCTATCATGCATACCTTATGCAGTCCCTGTATGCCTAGGTAGCCCCTACATAACCCCTAAGGTCCCTGACGAAGGTCCCTCCTTTAGTCCCTTGAAGTTACCTCGTACAAAACCCTCACGTACTTGCAGGTTCTAGTTGTAAGTAGGGTTATGATAAGGTAGTCTACTTATAACCTTGTTTAGGGTACTTACAACCCTACATAACAACCCATGAACCTTCAAGTGCAGAAGGGCTATGGGCTACGGGGCTTTTGGCTGCACCTGAGGCAAAAAGCACCAAACCCGAAAGCGTGCAGCCGGCGGGCGTTCTAAGCCCTACATGGCTGCGTAAACCCTGAACCCTAAATCCTAAGATACCCTAAACCCAAAAATACCCTAAACCCTAAGCCCTAAACCCAAAACTGAACAAACCCGAAAAAAACCCGAAGCCTTGAACCACAACCCTATGCCCTAAACCCAAAACTGAACAAACCCGAAAAAAACCCGAAGCCTTGAACCACAACCCTAAGCCCTAAACCCACAACTGAGCAAACCCGATAAAACCCCGAAGCCTTGAACCACAACCCTAAGCCCTAAACCCACAACCGAACAAACCCGACAGAACCCCGAAGCCTTGAACCACAACCCTAAGCCCTAAACCCACAACTGAACAAACCCAAAACAACCCGAAGCCTTGAACCACAACCCTAAGCCCTAAACCCACAACCGAACAAACCCGATAAAACCCCGAAGCCTTGAACCACAACCCTAAGCCCTAAACCCACAACCGAACAAACCCGAAAAAAACCCGAAGCCTTGAACCACAACCCTAAGCCCTAAACCCACAACCGAACAAACCCGATAGTTATGATAAAACCCCGAAGCCTTGAACCACAACCCTAAGCCCGAAACCCACAACTGAACAAACCCGAAAAAACCCGAAGCCTTGAACCACAACCCTAAATAAACCCTAAACCCTAAACCCCCAGGCTCGGACCAGGCCCCCACGGTGTGGCCACGACTTGCGGCCATTGCCGAGCGCTTGTGGAGCCCTGGCTGAGCTAGGGTTTAGGGTTTAGGGTTTAGGGTTTAGGGTTTAGGGTTTAGGGTTTAGGGTTTAGGGTTCAGGGTTTAGGGCTTAGGGTTTCGGGTTTCGGGTTTAGGGTTTAGGGTTGAGGGTGGTTGAAAGGGTTTAGGGATTGGGGTTCTTGAAGTAGCGTGGTTTGGGGTTTGGGGTTGAAAAAGGGCCCGACCCTTGTCATGAAAGAACTCTTTAGCTAGGGGCCTGCGCCATTGGCCAGGAGAGCTTGGGGCCCCTGCAGGAATTTGTTTAGGGTTTAGGGTTTAGGGTTTAGGGTTTAGGGTTTAGGGTTTAGGGTTTAGGGTTTAGGGTTTAGGGTTTAGGGTTTAGGGTTTAGGTAGTTTGCGGCATAGCCTTGTTCCCTGAACCCTAAACCCTAAACCCTGTTCGGCCACCATTTTCTTGATTGAAATGCACCAAGCGCATGGACCCCGGGAAGCGGCAGTCCTCGTCATGGAATAATTAGACCTCAGTTCAGAGTACAGAATCTTATATCGTTTAAGGTGGTGTATTTCCTCAATGAAGGGGTCTTGAGCCCGAAGCCAAGCTCTGAACGCGGAGCCATTTTGGCGCAAGCCATACCGGCCAAAGCAAGACACACAGAGGTCGCAGCCAGGTGTGCGCCAGTAGTCAGAATCGAGATGGATGCCTTCGTGACAAGTCCGGGCCAGCCGATTACGAGCCAGTCTGCCGCCCCACGTGCGGTAGTGGCCCCGGCCGCGGCTCCGACAAGCACCCACTCGCCCAGCCCGTCCCACACCCTCCTTGCCGTGACGGGGGCAGCGGCTTTGACGGGCTGCCGGCGGGGAATGCGTAAGCGCACGGTGGCGAGGTCTGCGACCGTCGTCATGGAGAAGTACACCTCCATGTGCAAGCAGTCGGATGCCCCAGATTCCATGCGGCGGCGATTTGAGGCGGTTGTGGCAGAGGCCCAGGCGAACATCTGCAAGGCCATTGAGGACTGCGACGGTGGTGCCAAGTTCTCGACGGAGCCCTACACGCGCGGCGAGAAAGGCGGTGGCGGAGTTGCCCGTGTGCTCGCCAACGGCAACATTTTTGAGACTTGGCAGCTGAGTGGTGCCCTTTTGCCTTTTTTGGGTTGTGGGTTCCCTTATAAAGACGAGCAACCCCAAAAAGGGTACCCTTATTGTGAGATGGTTACTCGGCTACCAAGGAGAAGGCTGGGGTGAACCTCAGCGTTGTCTACGGCGAGATGCCCGAGTCGGCGCTGAATGCGGCCACCGAGCGGGGGGCCGACCGCGCAGGCGGAAAGCTGAAACCCGGTCAGAAGGTCCCTTTCTTCGCTTGCGGCCTGTCCTCTGTGATGCATCCCAAGAACCCCCATTGCCCCACCATGCACTTCAACTACCGCTACTTCGAGACGGAGACCGGCCAGTGGCTTGGTCGCCCAGTGGTACCCTTTCACGATTTTTTTGGGTTCTGGGTGTTCCCTTACAACGTAATCAACCCCAAGAAGGGTACCCTTATTATCATAGGGTTCCTGGGCTAGTAAGGTGGTGGTTTGGCGGTGGCACTGACATCACTCCCTCCTACCTGGACAAGGAGGACATGAAGCATTTCCACGGGACATACAAGGATGTCTGTGACAAGTACGACCCCGACTCTTAGGGATACTTAAATGATTTTTATGTTTGTGTACTTTTTTCCTAAGAAGTTTACAGCAAAAAACGCATTTTTGCTAGGGTTCCAAGTTTAGTATAGGACTGGTACGGCAAGTTCAAGAAGTGGGCCGACAAGTACTTCCTCATCCAGCATCGTCAGGAGACGCGGGGCCTGGGTGGCATCTTCTTTGACGACTTCAACTCCGAGGACCCCGACAAGCACCTGAAGTTTTCGACAGACTGCCTGGCTGCAGTTCCCAAGGCCTACGTGCCAATTCTTGAGAAGAACAGGGACAAGGAGTTCACGGAGGAGCAGAAGCAATGGCAGTTGATCCGCCGGGGCCGCTACGTGGAGTTCAACCTTGTCTACGATCGCGGCACCGTCTTCGGCCTCAAGATGCTGCTGACTCATAGTGGGGTACCATTTTTTGCATTTTTAATTAAGGGTATTTAAACACCAAAAATATTAAATATGTATATATGTACATATACATACATATACACCTATATATATATGTAGAATTTTAAGACTATCCCAACCATGAACTAGGCTAAGCAGCGGCGTTGGCCGCATCGAGAGCATCTTAATGTCCCTGCCGGAGAACGCCAAGTGGCTCTACGCCCACGAGCCCAAGGAAGGGTCACCGGAGGCCGAAATCATGGAGGCCTTTAGGACTCCTCAGGAGTGGGTTTAGGGTTTAGGGTTTAGGGTCCTGAAAAAAGGGTTCAGGACCCTTTGAGGCCTGTTTTGCGAACAGGTCCAGAATGTTGGAAGCCATTAGCCACATTGGCAGCCAAGGGTTTCTGCGTAGTGCTTTTGTAGAGTTGGAAGGGCTCTTGCAGGGTTTAGGGTTCAGGGTTTAGGGCTCAGAGTTTTGCAAGGCTAGCTTAATAACAACCACGGCAGTGATGTGCCTTTTGAGCGTTCTCTGAAGGCTTTGAGCTTGTGCTCAAGAGCCGCGGAGATCAGTTTTGCTGCAACTCAAAAAACCAGGGTTGCTGCTCGGGGCTGCAGGCATCACCTTCCTTAAGGCTGCCTACGATGCTCCGAGGATCCGCCCCTGGAGGAAAAAAGGGAGTCTGGCTGACGCACCATGTGGGTAGTTCTCTAAGTTAGGGTCCCTTTTTGGGTTCCCCTACAGAGCACGCGCCTGCAACGTAAGGACCGCAAAGAAGGACCCTCGTGTAGGGAACTGCCCATGTGCGTGTGGTATTCTTGCAGCCTCGAGAAGCCCTGAGGCCCCTGAAAATGGGGTTCCAAGTATGGACCTTAGGTCTTGTGTCCCTTGTTACACAACGGTTTAGGGTTTAGGGTTTAGGGTTTAGGGTTTAGGGTTTAGGGTTTAGGGCTGACACTATACAGAATAAGGGCCCATACTTTGGATCCCTCTAACCAAGTACAAGGGACCATACTAAAAGGCGGGGTTACTTGGAGGCTCAGGGTTAGTTGTAAGTAGGGTTATGAGTATGGTAACTACACCCATACCGTTATTCGACCATTATTTGGGTACTTATTCGTAAAGCTTCCCATGGACCTCCAAGTACCGAAACCCTAAACCCTAAACCTGTAACTACCCATGAACCTCCCCAAGAGAGGGGAGACTTCAGGAGTGCGCCAGCCTCTTCTGCCGCGGCTGCGGAGACCCGTTTGGGCGCTTTCAGGCACCCCAGAGATCCCTCCAAATTCCCTGACTAGGGAGGTTCATGGGTGGTTATAAGTAGTGTTTAGGGTTTAGGGTTTTGGGTTAGGGTGTAGGGCTATAAGTATTGGTGGGTAAGTACACTTTCCGTTGGCAGCAGACACAGAAGATCTACGGGCTCTTGCGGTGCACACACACACACACAAAGGCTCGCAACCTCCGTAGTGGCGCGGAAGGCGGTGGTGTGCAACCAATGCCCCTGGTGCAGAAAAGTGTTTGCTGCCAAGGAGTTTGCAAGTCGGCATGCCAATGTGCGTGCTCAGAGGGGCAGTTGTCCTAGAGGTGGGGCACCCCATGTCGTTGGACATGTCCGTGGGGCCAACAGGCAATTCACCAACTTGTGCCGCAGGCTCGGTAGCATCAGTCCTCGACCATGCTGCTCATGCTGAGAGGCCAGTGTGCGCTCGGACCGGCCGCGGTTCCAAAGGCAGTGAGCACTTCCTCATGACCGTGTGCATGCTCTCCTTATGTAATGACATTCGAAGCCTGCACAGGTGTGCAGGAGTATGGAAAGTACATCATGGCCAAAACGTGTACGCACTAAACGGCCACAAACCTGTGCCAAGCGCACCCGCGAAGCAGGAAAACATCACAATCTCGGGCATGCAACCTTCGTCAGGGGTTTGGCTTATTTGAGATGGACTGCGTCGGAGGATGCGGCCGTCGAGGATGCAAAGCGGCAGCTAGTGCAGGCTTGCGCAGATTCGTGTGCCAATGGGCTTCCTAATTTTGATGTCCCAATGCGTGCAATTCGTGCGACCTTCGGCGTCTTCAAGACGTGGCCGGGTGTGCTGGAAACCCTAACCCTAAACCCTAAACCTTAAACCCTAAACCCTAAACCCTAAACCGCTTGTGCGCACCGTCAGCCGCTCTGTGCCGCCGGTGCGGCCTCGTGACTCAGGGTCCTCTGAGGCCCTGTGTGGCCTGTGTGGTCCCTCGGCCTAGGCCGGTCATGGGCTTAGGGTTTAGGGTTTTAGGGTTTAGGGTTTAGGGTTTAGGTTTTAGGGTTTAGCCCTTCGTCGTGGAGCTGTGGCTTCCGAAGACGCAGACAGAGAGCGAGAGAGAGAGAGAGAGCGGGCGAGCCAGAGAGCCAGAGAGAGCGAGAGAGAGGGAAGTAACGACGACTGTAACCCCGGCATATAGCTACCCATGGTCCTCCAAGCAATTCACGACTGTCGCACGTGTTCATCCCTGGGAATTCGGGGGGCCTTCTTCCAGCCTTCCAACTTCATTCAGGCTCAGAGGAAGGGTCCCTAAACTCTAAACTCTAAAACCGAAAGCCCTGTCTATCCCATCTGAGGGGTATGGGTGGATGCTTTCAGACGTTGGCCCGAACACTGTGAGACCTCAGCCTGAAACGCTCGACGAGTGAGACTATCGAAAGAGCTGATTGTCGCATTGAAATGCAGACACTCCCCCGAAACCCTAAACCCTAAACCCTAAACCCCAAACCCCAAATCCTAAACCCCAAACCCTAAACCCTAAACCCTAAACCCCAAAAGCCTGGAAGCCTTGGCAGGTGCCTTCTCCTCCGCCGCGGCGTCGCTGCGGGCCCCACCATGGGTCAGGGCCGCGCTGCGCCGCCAGGACCAGGGACACTTGCCTTGCAAGGGCCTTTGGGGATTTTCAGGGGTTTAGGGTTTGGGGTTCGAGGATGTTTGGGGTCTAGGGGGTTCTGGGATGTTTGCGGCGCCGACCTCAGTCCACGCGTCAACAAACGCATGTTTAGGGGTGTAGGTTTTGGGGGTTAGGGCTTATAGGCTTCTAGGAGTCTAGGACTAGGATGGTGTGGGGGCATCTAGCAACAGCTTGGCTTTCTTCTGGCAGGCTCTTAGGACTTTAACCTTTAACCTTTTCGGATTTTGAAGGCAACTACAAGAAGGAGCCTAAAAGTTAAACTTTTAGCTAACCCCTAAACCCTAAACCCCAAACCAATTTTAGGAGGGGTTCAGAAGTCAGCCAAGACAGGGTCTGCCGATTTTTAGGGGATGCTGCCGGTTTTTCTGCAGGTGCAGGCTGGAGGAGCCTCTTGGGCTTTGTATATTGTTGGGGAGGTTGGTAGGGTTAAACCCTAAAACCCTAAACCCTAAATCCTAAACCCTAAACCCTAAACCCTAAACCGTCACGGTTTAGGGGCTCCCTGCGCCACAGCAAAGGTCCTGCGATCAGAGGAGCGGCGACTGGGGTGGCTTGGGTTCGGGCATGCTGGAACAGGAGCAAGATTCCCATTTTTTCTATAGTCCCCTTAGGATTTGTTGTTGCAACTTTTTTCATATAAATCCCCCAGGGACTATTGAACATACTATTTGTTCAACGTTCTGAGGGCAGTATAGCTTTCTTGAGTCAGCTGTTGAGATACCGGCAGAAACGATTCCAGCTTTGTCGCGGCAGTGTGTCCGCAGGTTCTATGCATACACTTCGTAAGGAGGACCGAAACTGGCAGTTCGTAGCCTCAGCAAGCTGTTTGTAACTGCTCTTGAGCCTTGAGCCCTAGTAACCAAGCGAAGGATCCCACCGTAAACCTAAACCTTAGACCCTAAATAAACCCCTAAACTCCTAAACCCCTAAACCCCTAAACCCCTAAACCTCTAAACCCCTAAACCCCTAAACCCTAAACCCTCCCTAGAGTCCATCTCAAGACCGGCCCCAAGGTCAACTCGCGTGACGCCGGCGGGGCCTCGCGCGCAAGAAAAGGGTCACAGCAACCCAGAGACTCCACTAGGGTTTAGGGTTGAGGGTTGAGGGTTGAGGGTTGAGGGGAAAATCCTCCTAAACCCCAAGCCCTAAACCCTAGTGATGTAAGGAATACTCACTAATTAAGAAACATACACCCTGAGCCCTGAATACTAAACCCTAAACCCTTAAACCACATAGGGATCCTTAATATGATTGAAGGAACATTCCTTAGTTAAGGTTTTTCGGAGTCTCCGGGAACCGCTTGGCTTGGGTTTGCTTTGCTTTGGGTTTAGGGTTTTATCTGGCTTTGGGATTTTGGGGCTTTGGGGTTTAGAGGGTTTAGGATTTGGGGTTTAGGCTTTCGGCTTTAGGGTTTAGGTCTAGGATTTAGGATGAGGGTTTAGGGTTTTGTGTGTTAAAGGGGTGTAATTCGGTCGAAGGGGATCAGGCGGCTTGTGGGTTGCTGGAGCAGCAGTGTGGGCAAGTCGTTTCTTTGTCCGGGAGGTTCTGGCGGTATGGCGATGATACAAAAACTACATAGGGGCCTCACTCTAAGTTCAGGTCTTTATCCTTCACTCAGGTTTATTTGACTTCCGGGTTCGTGAAACGCGTCAGGTTTCGGCTAGATCTGATCTGGCTGGCTGGGCTGGCAGGCGTCCTCACAGTCTAGGCTACTCCATGAGTCGCTATGGACCATGGAGAAGGCATGTGCATGCTGATGTCATCACAGAAGCCAAGCCGCCTGAATGAATGCTTCACCCCGAATGCCCATAAACTCCGAACCCTACTTAGAGTTTCATGGACAGTTGTAAGTGGGGTTAGAAGTACCTAAATTTGGTTAAAAGTACAGTTGCCACACTTCTAGCCCTTCATAGAGTTCCCATGAACCTCCCGCACTGAAAATTGAGCCCTCAAGTGGCCTGACCCTGATGAATGCCACATCGCTCTCCCTCGGCATTGATGCCCAAACCTCGGCTCAAGTCGATTCTCTAACACAACGAACTACCTTTAAAGCCTACTCGTGGTCGGAGGAGACAGTATACATCCTAAGGTCCTAAACAACATAAAGCCCTCACAGCATGTTGACCCGGCATGCCAAAGATGCGCCTTGGTGGGTTTAGGGTTGAAGATTTAGGGTTTAGGGCGTATAGGGGACATCCGATGAGCTGCATGCCATGTCATGAGCACGGTGTGCGCGGACAGCTGCTGTCCTGGCGTGACGTTTGCAAGCCGGTTGCAAGAGGGGATGCCCACAACCGTCATTGCGCCCGAGTTGTAGAACATGGCTTCGCAATCTTGGAGGAGGGAGCTGTGCGGAACTGCGCGCGTACATGGATGGGGACATTCATACGTGCACAAGCATGCGCATGCATGCATGCACGCAAGCGCACGCACATGCATGCATGCATGCATGCATGCATGCATGCATGCATGCATGCATGCATGCATGCATGCATGCACGCACGACACAAACAAGCAGAAACAAACGCACCCACGAACACGAACACAAACACAAGGCCAATCGAAAGCGCAAAGACAAATGCCAAAGCGTGCACGCGCACGCGTGACGCGCACGCGCGAGGCGCACGCGCGACGCACGACGCGCACGCTCAACACGCACGCGCGACGCACACGCGCACGCTCGCACGCGCACGCTCGCACGCGCACGCTCGCACGCGCACGCTCGCACGCGCACGCTCGCACGCGCAGCGCCCGCGCCCGCGCGCGCGCCTGCGAGCGCCCACGCGCGTCCCCGCGCGCATGCGGGCGCAATCGCTATACGGAAAAGTTGTTGCATGCTCTGGTCTGGTCTCCACTGATTGGACTTTGTTGAACAAGGCTTTAAGTAGAGTCATCGGCCTAACCCCCCCAGCTGATATGTACCTTTCATCAGTAACGCTCATACTTCTTGCAACTGATCTGGCCACAGGCGGCAGACATGTCAAGCACACCAACCGGGTCGAAGCCATATGTGACAATGCCAATCTTGGGGAGCCTGCTCATGTTCGCAAAGCTGCTGGTTTAGGGTTTAGGGTTTAGGGTTTAGGGTTTAGGGTTTAGGGTTTAGGGTTTAGGGTTTAGGGTTTATCCCCCTTATACTGCCAGTCCTTAACAAGGATTAGAGTACTCCCCCTAATTAGAATCCCTACGAAGGACTATTAGAATCCCTACAAAGGACTGTTAGTACAACGGGGAACCCGAATTAAACCGCTTTCCATCTTGTGCCCGTTTAGGTGGTGCTGGGCTTACCCTAAACCCTAAACCCTAAACCCTAGGTGCTGCTGGGCTTGGGCCTATGGCTCTACGGGCCAAGCTTTGCTGGGCCAGGGGCAGCGTGGCCGGATCAGTGAGAGTTTCCAGAGGCCAGTTCCCAGAGAGCCCAAAACCCTTAGTTCAACAATATTCCTTGACCCATATATAGGGATCCGTAGTATGGTTTAAGGAATATTTACCCCTTCTGCGAGGGGTAAAGGGCTCTTTTGTACCCGTTTAAGGAAACAAAACTGGCTAAGGAACCTTAAACCCCAAACCCTAAATTCAAGCTTTAGAACCCTTCTTGATGGTTTAAGCCGCATTCCTTACAAGCAACCGGGCTGGACATATTTCGTGGCCAGCGACAAGTGGAAGCAGTGGTTTGGCGAAGATGCCTTAAAGATAGGAGTAGGGTTTAGGGTTTAGGGTTTAGAGTTTAGAGAGGCTTACTGCAGGGGTGTAGAGTTGGGCCCAGTTTCCCCTGAATGGGCAAGATTCGCTGCACTATAGCAACGAAGAAGCAAACAGATGTGTGTATATCTTTGTCTAAATCTGTGTAAATACATGCATATAGATGGTGAGTTCTCCAATAAATTATGGTCCCTTTTTGCATGCCCTAAACCTTACGGGCCACCTTATAATAGGAACCCGGAAAGGGACCATAATATAGAGAAGCCACACGTATGTGTATATATATATATATGTGGCCGAGACCTTTAGGGTCTATTTCGCGCACCGTCCTTGTGTTGACTATGTTTGACAATAGATATACCTGCTATTAATGCGTTATTGAATGAATATGACGATTTCTATTACCACCTCCTCCTGCTTCGACTACAACAACTGCATATGATTGCTCGTGATGCTACTACTACCACCACCACCACTAACTCGCCTCTCACCTTGTTGCGTATCGACGATGCCGACACAGTGCCAACTGAACTACTCACATTAGGAGATTCGCCTGCTCCTACTTCTGAGAGAGGCCTAGTGAAAGAACCCAGCAGAACACGTACAGTCTCGACATGGCTCTTGGAAGATGCGTCCACGAGAGCGGTCAGGCCGGATCTTTCCTGCATTTTCCTGTCAGGACTGGTCGGCACCAGCGTCCAGCAGCATATGTACAATCTCGACATGGCCCTCGGAACATGCGCGATGAGAGCGGTCACGTGGTACTCGTCCTCCAAGATCTTGCCAGCACCAGCATCCAACAGCAAACGTACAATCTCGACGTGGCCCTCGGAAGATGCGCGCATGAGAGCGGTCGCGCGGAACTCGTCCAGCAAGTTCTTGTCGGCACCAGCGTCCACCAGCAAACGCACAATCTCCACGTGGCCCTGAGAAAATGTGGCCATGAGAGCATTCGCGTTGTAGTCGTCCCACAAGTTCTTGTCGGCACCAGCATCCAGCAGAAAACGTACAATCTCGACATGGCCCTTGGAAGATGCGTCCACGAGGGCGGCTTTGCCCATGTCCTCAATGTGCGCAAGTTTGTTGGCGTCCGCATCCACCAGCAGTCGTATTCAGGTGTTTCCTGTCTACACTCTACACTAGCTGTCAGCTTAGCAAAGTTCGCTTTCCTCCGGAACAATCATGAGGGGACACAAGGCGGCGTCATTCGCTAGGGTCTTGTGGACCGTGCCGGTGCCGCTGATGCATACGATGTTGATACCTGAGAAACCGTACCCCATGATACTAATCTGCCTGGGCATCTACGGCTTAGCTCGGAGGTCAGTCCACTTGAAAGGGTTAGAATTTCCGACTCGGGTGGACACTTGAAAGTTTCGAACGTCCAGCAGGGTGGTCTTGTGAGGCATTTCACGTGTCGCCAGGTGCACGTGTCTGCTTGATAAGACATGGAGCTGCAGCTCGCTTGTAGGCTATGGGCGGTTCATGCAGGAGCCTTTGAGCAGCGTGCCAGATTGCCAAGGCGAGCACAATGGGCTTCACGCGCGTACCATAGATCAAACTTCATTAGTGTAGTAGCACTTCGAGCGAGGCCGACAACACCTTCGATGTCTAGCCGACAAAGAGCCGAGTCGCTAGTCGCGAGCACGAACCCGTGACCGGTGAGAACATCTGGTACACCCAACATGACAGACACACCGTATCTCGGAGAATTCCTTCCAGTCACGGATCATGCGTTGCCTGCGCGCAACTTTATGTAACTCCAGACTTCGGCGTAGCCTTCAATATACCTGATAACTTTAAAGGATGCCGGGCATCAGGGCAAGGTAAACCATGTAGAAGATTAAATGAGGCTAGTTTGGATCAAGGTTCAGTCGATGTGAGACTGGCGTGCGTGAAGAATTGACACAGCACACGTGTCAAAACACACTCAACCAAGCGTGCCAAACTCAAATCATGGCATAGGTGAAGGGAAAACGTCATCGAAGTGATCACAGTCCTGCGCCAGCCAGCAAGATCTTGTCACAATGAACTTATCAGGCACGCGTCTCTTAGTGCAAAGGAGCAGGTCATCCAACAAGGGCAACAACACGCGCGTTTTGCTATCCGTCGTTTCACACCCGTCGCAACCTCACGATTGCGACATGTCGCGCACAGCAACAGTCGCTTTGCGGTGTCACTTATGCCCCTTTACCCCACCAACCTTTAGTTGGTGCTGGCGCTTGGCAGAAAATGGAGTTCGCTTAATTCGACGCCGCTTTGACGCGGGTTTCTTTTGCACCCAACCCTTTACCATAGCGATCTCAATATCACGAGAGCGCATAAGGG